AATACGAGAGGGCTTCTCGATTTACATGCACTGATAGCAGGATAAGTTTCCTGCGAGTCCTGCGTTGAAAGTCACAAAATTCGCGAACGTTTTACACACTTGACGCACTTAAGAGTTACGCTTAAAGCTATGATTGAGCTGTTGACCCAAAGATTATGCATATAGAGAACGAAACGAGAGAGCGCTGTTGCTGAAAGTAAAAAATATCAACTGTTAAAGCATCTCTCAAGTGTCTGTCCATTGCCATAAGTGGAGGTAGTGCCGGCTGCTCCAGTTGATCGTATCTGTGGGCTCTGCGATATCCAGTTCATGGGCCAGCTAAATGTCGTTGTCTTACAAACTAGCCTCGCTTCGTAAGTGAAAAAAAACATTGTGTTTACTTTTCAAATATACTTTTTTCATATATTTATTGGCTAACTCTTTAAACGTTACTCTGTAGTTGTTGTTTCTTAATTCTTTTTCATTTTTCAGTTTTAATTTTTGTTTTTCTTTTAATTATATTATTAGTATACATATAAATAATTAAAAATATTACATTAAAATGTATTCGTATATCGTATAGAAGTTGCTGCTTGTTTGTTTTTTTTTCATATATAAGTTTTTGTTTTCGTTTAGTTTTTGATTGCGTTTTCTTCTCTGCTAGATCATTACCATAAGTTTTCGTATCGTGTTTCTCATTTTACAATTTTGCTAAAAACTAAATAAAATTTGTTTCGTAAAACAATAATAAGAATTTATGCAATTAGACACACACAAAAAAAAAACTAATGTTATGTATATTTATATACATATATTTCAAAAATAAAAGCAAAAAGCATCTCAATTATTTTTAAAATATATATATTTACGTATATGTTTGTTTGCGTTAATTTGTTTTTATCATTCATATTTTATATTTACTTGTGTTATATTTTTATAAAATATCACCTAAAGCAATTACGTATTTCAGTTTCAGTTTTGTATTTTGTTTGTTTTTTTTTTTTTGTTTTTATTTTTTACATGACAACAATAAAAAATGTTCGCTTTGTTTGCAAAACGTTCAATACTCAAAAAACTAATTGTAAGAACAAAAGCATTAAACAAAGTGTTCAACAAAATGCAAAAGCCCGCAAAAATCATAGGAAACAATTTGTTGCAGCCACTCTTGCAACAGTTTATATATATTTATAAATATATATAGTATATATTTTTGTTTGTATATTAATTATTATTTTTTGTTTTCTTTCAACTAAAAAGCAACTAAGATCGCTTGGCCACAGATTTATGCTAAAATTATATTATAATTACAGCTTGTATTCACTTCGTATGGTTTTTGTTTTTATTTGTTTTTGTTATTTTTTCTTTAAGTTTTAAGAGACAAAGTACAACAACTATTTTTATTTATTAATTATTATATTGTGTTGGATTTTTTTTGTATTTTTTTTTTCTTTTTTGACTTGCAAATTTATTATTGCAAGATTTTATTTTTTTTGTTTATTCTTAAGTTGAAAAAATAGTACAAAAGCTTTGACATATTCTCAGTTTTTTTTTTGTTTTATTTGTTGGTTTGTTTCTTTCGCTAATAAACCAGTTGGTTTATAGTCTACTCGTAAAGTGTAAGTATACAAATGACTGCCCATATAGCTGGACTGCAACCGGGTGCAGTTCCATTAAGTACAATGTTTGGTAGATTTATTTTTAGTATGCATTAACTCAAAAGGTAGGAGAATATAGCGATAGAGAAAGTGCCTAGAGCTGGGAAGAGTTCATTTGGAAATTAGTTTTAGGGTAAACGTAGAGTTTAGCTTTAGTTTTAGTTTAGCTTAGCATACCTAATAATACGTAGCCTTCCGTTACGGACACTAAGAACTATATAACGTACATTAAGTTAAACCGCTATAGTATACATAGAGTTGATGGGGGAAGGGTAGAGAGGGGTAGGGGTAGATAGGACGCCAATGCAGTTGCTGAACGCCTATGGGGATTAGGCATAGTCTAACATAGTTGCAAGTATGATTGGGATAGTAGTACAATGGGATTATCTTATTCCATCTCTTAACTGCTGTGATTTTGAGCACCAGAAGCTGCACTGTCGCTATATACGTGGCTACGTCCCGACTGACGTATGCCATATTTTCCATATTAATTAATAATTACATTTACTTTTATATAATAGTATCGCGTTTAGCATTTACGTATTTACTTGTATAGTTAAAAATTTCGCTTAGTAAATGCTTAAAGTTCTTCATTTTTGTTTTCTTTTCTCTTCTCTTTTTACTGATCTTGAATTATAACCTAAACAGTATCCCGTTCATTACGTATATTTAGTTCGCACGGTTTCTAGCTCATTTATAATGTCATCGTATATGCGCGTTTCAATTCTCAATTAATTAAATTAACATTAATCTGGTATTTGTTTTGTTAAACTTTTTAAACAATAGGAAAACATATGTTTTACTTTATGTTTTATTCGTATACTTTGCATTTGAACTCAGGTTGATTTCATGTTGTTTCTTCATCTTTTTGTTTACGTATATGAGTTGCACTTGGTTCTCCATTCTCATTAAGAACGCATTGAAATAAGACTTATAAATGAAACAGAAATTAAAAACAAATCTAACAAAAATAAAGATTATAAATTTCTTTTCTTTTCATTTTGTCTGTTTTTTTTTTTTTTTTTTTTGGCAAGTTCTTCCAGTGTTGTAAAACACCTCGAAAAAGGACGTATTGAAAAATCGTATACTCGTTGCTGAAGTAAATAATAGTGAAAAGCCAAACAAAAGGGGAATAAACTTTTCTTTCATTATGAATATTTTGTTTTTTTTTTCTGTGTTTGTTTTTGTTTTTGACTTGTAAGCAGCCTAGGCTTTCGTACAACTACATGCTTAAGTTATAATTTATTATAGTTTAGTTTCTTAAGTTTGCTCGTAGCTAGGGTTATGCTTTCTGAGTTGACCAAATAACGTAAGGTATTCCTTGGGCTCTCTGTTGCGACACCCACCCAGACACACACGCACACTCTTATACACGCGCGCACGCCTGCACGCACACACACGCACTCGCACACGCACACGCACACACACACGCACACACAGAGACACGCTTAGCGAATTAAAAGTCCGCTTCGTGCTTGATGCGATAACTGGCATAGGTTTCTTCCAGCGGCGCAAAGTCTTGGGTGTGGGGCTGTGTTAAGGTTCCAAAATAGAAATTTGGCACCAGAGTTGTAATATAGAGAAATGGGCTTTAGATATAATAGTAGATCAAATATAGTTGATATTGTGTGCATCTGTTACTGTAACTAAGTATGTATGTCTGTCTGTGTTTGGTTTGTGGAGGGGTTCGAAGGCGATATTTACAAGTTTACGAACTCAAAACGATAACACGTCTATCGGAAGTTATCGACGCAGCCGCGGCTGCCGACTGACTGAACCCGGGCAAACGCTGCCCCGCATAGTCAGGGCTATGCATATTAGGCTAGCTTTTATATCATATTTATATATAATATATACATATATATATATATACATACATATATATGCATTTATACGTATATAGTTTCTATATATATGTCTATATATAGAGTTATGTGCATATGTAAATTGTTAAAATTGGTTAGTTTTGGGTTAGTAAACTTTCTTGTAATATAATAATTTTTAGTTTTTTTTTTTTTGTTTTGTAGTTTAATTTTTTGTGTTGTTAAGTAGTGAAAATAATAAAAAGTTGTTAAATGTTTTTAATAATAATTAATAATATATTGGCGAGCTATATGGGCCTCTTGCAAAAACGAAGGACTGGAACTTTTACTTATTTTTCTCTTTTCTTTTTTCTCTCTTTTGCATAGTTTTTCTTTAGTTGTTGGTACTTTTTACAAATTAAGCAAATGGTTTTTTGCGCTAATTATTGTTGCTCAGTTGCTGTATCTTCTTCTTCTTCTTTTTCGTTTTAAGTAATTTACAAGTTGAATGTATTCTATTTTTGCCTCTGCGAGGAGAGCACAAAAATAAATAACATGACTTATGTTTTGCATTACTCTTTGTTTTTACTTTTTGCTTGTTTTGTTTTTGTTTTTGTTTTTAAACTTAAATTTATGGCTCTCATTTTACTGTACAAAAACAGACAAACTCTAACGGCCAAAGCATCAGCAGCAGCAGCAGTAGCAGCAGCAGCGGCGACAGTTGCCAACAGTCAACGGCCAACAGCAATGCACAGCAGCAACAGCAGCAACAACAGCAGCAGCAGCAGCAGCATCAGCTGTCATTGTATAGGGATGGGCGAAGATCCTCGCTTAGCGGCCGCTTGGAAGCTCGTTTGTAGTTATTGTTGTTCATTGAGTCGTGGTGTGGTATGTTGTCAACGTGTTGTTGTTGTTGTTGTGGTCGGTATTGTTGTCGTCATTGTTGTCATCGTCGTTGTTTTGGCCGCTAACGTTATTTCCTTGCAATTGTTGTTGTTGTTGCTGTTGCGTGGCCATTGCCGTTGTTGCTATTGCTAAAGTTGTCGTTGTTGTTGTTGACTTTGACGTTGTCGTTGTCGTTGCTGATATTGCTGCAATTGCTCTCGTTAGAAATTTGCTTAGTTCTTTTCTCATTTTATTATTTGCTCTCTTGTACTGTTTTTTTTGTTGTAGTAGTTGTTGTTGTTTAATTCACTTGACTAATTTACAATGTGTGTGTGTTCTTGTTCTTGTTCATAATTACGTACAACTTCTTCTGCGTTTTTTGATTGGATTTATTCATCAATATTTATATTATTGTTATTATGATCATCAAATAATCAATTGAGATTATTGTGGACTTTTGTTGTAGTTTTGCAAAGTTAATTAATTTTACTTAATTTCTTATGCAGTTTCGCAACATTCTTATTTTTGGTTATTATTATTGATTCATTTAATCCCAGGGCATTGTGAGCACCCGCTTCGTTTTTGCAAGAAGGTCGTTATCGTACTACGAACATGGGTGCACCACCGCATTGTAGCTCGCCAATATAGGACCATGTGCTCCCGCGAAGGGGGTACTCACAACGTCTGGTGTACTAGCTCCATCGGTGTGCGATGTTGAATCGGCATTACTTCTTCCTTCACCATTTGCTGAACCTAATTCTGGTGGTTTGGTGGTGTCCCGTTCGTCAATCACTAAATCTATTGGCATTTTACCCTTTAAGCATGAGATATATCGATGACAGAAATTATCGCATAGTTCATGCACCTGCAAAGAGAAACCCGCAAAAAGTGAGTGAGAGAGAGAAAGAGATTGTTGTGTGAGAAGTGCGATGCCAAGACGAATGTGAATACAAATACATATACATATACATATATATAGTTATAGTATAGTTGACAGTTATATAAAGATAATATGCATAAATATAATACTTAATCTAATCGGACTTAGCAATACGTTTTCATATTCCACAATCGGGACTTCATTAGGCATTCAGTTAGTTTATAAAGCATTCGACTTGAGCGACAGAGACAGCTGCAAACACTTAGCGCCATTGCATTCTTTATGCCAACAGCAACATCCAACAACAACAATATGGCAAAAACCTGCTTTTCTCCCGCTGCAAATGGCATGCAAATTGCTTTTTATGCGTTATCCAAGGCCCGGCTCTGGTCTGGACTCGGGCCGGGCCACGCAAATGGTTGATGATGGCACTCAAAAATGGCGTAGACAACGTCAGCAACAGCCACCGCTAAGCTTAGAAGGTGTACGCGCTTGCAGGCGATAAAAATGCGAGCCCGGCCACATAAATATGCATAGAGCGCTGGCTGGCCAAAAGCATTGGAGTCAGAAAGGAAGTGCTGGCCAGCCAGGTTTAGCCGCAGGGCACACTTTTAAGCAAGCAGCACGTGCAACACACACAGACCATTGGCTGGCGTCAGCAGCAACAGCAACAGCAACAGCAACAGCAGCAGCAAACGGCCAACAAAATGCGTTTTTAAAACCCGGCTGTTGTTGTATTTGTTGGCTGCATCCAAAAACTGTGTGTATGTGTGTGTGTGTATGATAAAACAAATGCGATAAGGCCAAAGTGAGTGTGAGTCAGGCGGAGCACATATGCAAATATGCAAAAAGGCTGTGCACCAAAGAGGAATGCAGCCGCCGACACGGCTAAAAAGAAATTAATTGCGCTGGGCTCGAGCAGACAGAGTAGCAGCAGCAGCAGCAGCAGCAACAACCAACAGGGTGCTCCATTTAAACGGGCAGGCATTTAATTTACGAAAAAGTGCGCGTTGCTTATGCAAATTGCTTGTTGCTGTGTTCTTGCAACGCTGCTGTTGCTGCGGCTCTCGTTTTGTTTTTTCTTTTTAACAGTTGCTGGCGGGCGGGCGAGCTGGCTGGCTGGCTGGCTGGCTGGCTATTAACTTGTTGCCCATTGCCAAAACTTGCCAAACTTGTTTCCAGGCTGCTGTAGATGCTGCTGCTGCCGGCTGTGTTCAATGTTATTGTCACCAAAAATATGACGCTGATAAAAACTGGCAGCAGCAACTGGTTTATGACAGGACTCAAATTTGTCGTTACTGCTTGCTGATAACAGTAACAGCAACTGCAGCAGCAACATCTTGTTGCTGCATATGTGTATAGCTGTCAAAGTTGCCATAACAATGCACATAAAGCGCGCAATTAGCACGCCAGCAACATGTTGCCAGCGCGCAACAGCAGCAGCAGCAGCAACAACAAGGCATAAATACTTACTAAATTGATATGTTTATGCGGCTTTATGCTCAGTTGCTCAGTTGCTCAGTTGCCTGTCTCTGGCCTGGGCCGGGACGTAGCCCTTTGTGGCATGTTGTTGCTGCTGCAGCCGATGCTTGGACGCTGATAATTTTTGATTAATTTGTCAGCGTTGTGTGTGACATTTAAACAGCTCATTGCGATATTTATGACGGCTGCTGTTGCTCTGACTGGCTGCTGCTGTTGCACATTGGGTGGGCACAGCAGCAGCAACTCACAACTGGGACCCACAGCAACAGCAGCAACAGCAGCAGCACACTGGGGGCGTTGCTTGTTGCAAGCATTGTAAATGCTGCAGTCATTTGTACATCCTGTTAAGCAAAACTTTTCACAGTCCCGTCCTCGCTACATTTTACAGCTTCCTCTATCAGAGATACGATCGCAATGCGTCCGGGCGTATAGTTTTGTTTACCATTCCATACCATGCCCCCACCCCCTCTGTCCCTCTCATACAACTATTGCACTTTGCCTGCATTCGCTTCGCTCTAATCTAATGTAAATCGCTCCAATCTGCGCAGTGGTAATTTTCGATTTCCGCTCATAGATAGCGTTAAATGTTCTATACGGAGATGACGACTAGACCAGCTCCGACTGAGATTCACACGAAACCGACCAACTGACACAGCCTCCAGTCTCGATGCCAGCCGGCAGTCTCTGCCCCAGTCCCAGTCCCAGTCAAGCAACAAGTTTAATTTTGTTTTTTTTTCTTCTCTCTCTCTGTCTTTATTTTTTGCATTTTGTTTAACAAGCGTGCGGCAAAAAATGTACAACACTGCTGACATTTAAATGAAATGTAATTAAAAAAGCAACAGCAACAACAACAATAGCGGCGACTGGCAACAAAACAGTACAGACTGAATCTAAGCGGCTGGCAAAAATAAATATTTTAATTCAGAAAAAAAAATAATAAGTAAATAGATAGAAATGTTATTTGACTTTGAAAAAAAAATGCAGCGAACTGCGAATGCTCTGCCAACATGAATTAATATCAACTGTTTTATAAATGCAAAAGTCAACAATAGAAGGTTTAGAAAATCTATCTGTGAATCACGCTTAAGGAACAGCACGTAAAGAGTAAATAAAAACTGCCAGAGAGCTGAGGCTTTGCAGGAGATTGACTTACTAGACTTTACTTTTAGCATAAGCTGACAGCAACGTTTACGAATGTGATTGAAAGAGGAATGCAAGAGGCACGCTACGTTAAGCGCAGAAAACTCAGCTAAGCAACGCTTACGAATGTGCTTGAAAGAGCAATACAAAAACTAAGAAGAAACGTTAGGTTTACGAATGTGCTTCAAAGAGGAATGCAAACTAACATTTCAATATATAAACAATGTTTGCCACTTTGGCCTTTTGTTATTATATCATCTGTTAAATTCGAAATTCTTTTAGTCTTGCTAAGTTAGTGTAAATGCCAATAAATGGAACCCACACATTTAATTTTATTTTTTTCTTTTTTGTGTTGCCCCATCAAATCTCAAGTCCAGCTTGCATCTCAAGTCTCGCTTAGCCAAAAACAAAAACAAAACACACCAAAATAAAAACAAAATAAAATAAAATACAGCTGTTGCTTGTCGTTTGGTGTTGTAGCACCAAACTGGCCGAGCCATCAAAACAAGGCCCCCAATTCGGCGTGTACGTAGAGGTATTGGTGGCAGTCGTAGTAGAGCCCCCATGCCGGTGCCAGTACCGGTACAGCCGCCAAGCTGCGACTGCTTACCCCCTGCCGGGGTGTGTGCAACTGACCCAACGTGTGTTGTCTGTCCGTCCGGCTCTCGGTCCCACTGTCCCACTGTCTGTTTGTCAATTGCAATGCGCCGTCGTCGTTGAGTGTTTTTTTTTTCGTATTTTTTGCATGTGACTCTGTGACGAGAATTGTCCGTGCTGGATGGGAACTGAGGACTGGGCAAATGGGGCTGGCAAACCAGTTTTGACAGACACAAGTCTTGAAGCGTCTTTTTAACTGATTCTGTGTGTTGTTTTTAGCAGCAGCAACAAATATGCACAGATACAGATACAATACACACAGACAGACACAGGCATATATTGAAGCTTTTTGCCAGTCAGCCCGCACATTTTATTTAAGTATTTTATATTTTTTCTTATTTTATTTTTTATTTTTTGTGTTTTTATTTATTTTATACACCAAAATCGCCCGCTGCATTTTGTTGGCTGCATATAAATGAATTGTATTTTTGTTGTTGTTGTACAAGTTGCTACAGTTCTTTGTGCCGATTGTTGGCTGTTGCTTGTTGGTTGGCTGTGTCGTGGTTCGTGTGTGTCGCAAGCTGTGTGAGTGACAAATGACAAAACAAAAACCTGTCGTGGGCTGTGCTCGCTGTGCTCTGTGCTCTGTGCTCTGTGCTCGGTGCTCTGTGCTGTGTGATGATGATAAAGACCTCGTTCGCTTCACTACTCCTCTGTTTGTTATACAGGGTGCCGCTTGCAACAAATTGCAGCTGGCTGAATGGCAGACTGATCTGACTGTCCCTCTGTCCGGCTGTCTCGCTGGCTGACTGACTTGGCTTACTGCACTACTTTCAATAGAAAGCGCGCTGGCTGCAGTTGGTAATTAAGATTGGCCAACACTAATTGCACATTGATTGACTTTCGTTGTTCGTATTTGTCATTGTGTCATTAGCTATGTGCCAGAGGGTCCCAATAACTGTAAATGACTACCGTGGGGCCTACACAGACGTTTCTCTGCCCAAATGGCCCAGCTTCGTATTCCTATAACGTCTGCCATGCGTTCTTATTGTTGTTTTTCGTCTTTTATATAATGTTTTGCATAATTTCTTACTTAAGAGTTAATTGAAAAACGAAAGAAGAAAAAAACGAGACTCTGATGACGGGCTTAGCTCAAAGCCCGGCTCAGCCCCAACTTCGACTGGCTTCAGTTTCGGTTCCCGACCCAACGCTCGACTCTCGACGCTCCACGGTTCGCTGCGCATTTGCCTAATTAATTTTCTTGGCACAGCAGCAGCAGCAGCACCAGTGGACAGTGAGTAGGGGAGAGGTAGGGTGCAGGCATTAATTACGACCACGTTGAGGAACAACTTCCATTAAGACAGCCGCCACACACACACACACTGACACAGTCGCACGCACACGCACCCAGTCTAGTCAAGCTCTTGCATATTATTTGAAATTAAAACAAATTAGGCAACCTGTAATTTTTTCATTTAGACTATAAAGTGTCCAATAATAAAGTAGGTGTTGCTTGTTGCTGCATTCCCAAAATTATTTATGTGTGTCTAGGCTTGGCTAGCCATCGAGGGGAGGAAGGGCGGCGGGTCTAAGTCCACACCTCATGAATTAACAACAAAGCAGAGCCGCGTATGAATGCATTCATTGTGTTGTGCGGCGCTTAATGCAAATATCGTAGATTCCGACACAGCCAAAATTTGTGTGGCTGACAGTATCTTGGGCAAACACACCTGTCCACAGCGCAGAGCGCAACAAATATTTGTCCTCCGCTGGCTCATATCTTGCTTTGTAAACGCTATGTCACATCCTGTCGGTCCGCATTGCTGTACTTATCTCTATCTAAAGCTATGCAAGCGGTTTTCATGTTACAATTTTGATTGGCAATTAATGCAGTTTCGGCCACGGCCAGCTGCATGGCCAACTGCAGCTAGCCAGTTGTTGCTGTCGTTGTCACTGCTGCCGTTGTCGTTGTGCTTTAATTTAGACATTTGCAAAGAGATATGACCGCATGCTGAGCCCAGGTGTCTCCATCTCTCTCTCTCCGTGTGTGTGTATAACTGGAGCCTGCCTACAAGCTCAATAAAATGTCAACACAAATGTTGGCAATACGAAATGTGCGCCCGTGGGTAACTAAGTCTAGCTATACCCTATAGAAACTCATTCATTGAAGATCAACTCAATCGTCCAACCTAGCTTCATTTTGCTATTCATATTAATAATTGTAAAATGCCAAGACTCCTGCTCGCATGCAATCGTAAATACATTGAGTTAATTTCCTATATTTTACTGCAGGGTATCTCCCAGTATTAGCAAGAGCTTTGGGACTTAATTTTTTGCAATTGATTTATGGGTTTTATGGGTGGTCGTTGGGGTCGGTGATAAATGTTGGCAGCAGCAATGCTGGCCAGCAGTTAATTGCATGACTGCCGGTGCTGCTGCTGCTGCTGAGCTGATGATCTGCAGCCCAGTAGTGAGCCATAAAAGTGTTTAAGTTAACTGACCACGAGGCAAGTCAACATTTGCCGGGTACAATTTAATTACCAACTAATGCTCAAGCGCTTTTAAATAAGTCAATTATGGGTTTTGAAATAAATTCTTTGAAAACGTATTGCTTTTGCCTCTAAATAGTAACTTAGGCAGTAGGAAAAGTTGATATAGAATAGAGAGCATTAAGGTTTACTTACTTTTTCTAACTCTAAAAGGTGAAACCGAAGCACTTGTATTGCCTGCACCATCTGCAAAGAGAGCGTAAGAAAGAGACGGAAGAGATTCAATATGAGTTATGCATATCACAAGAGATAATAAAATTCATTGCCATAAAAGAGGGCTTTCAAACAAATCGTTTGACGCCCCGGAACCACACACTACACACTACACACACAAACACACACACACACATATATGAATCGCAAGAGCGCCAACTGTTAGGGTGACCAGATGCTAATTAAAACGTCAGTTTGACATTTGACATTTTTACGATGCTGCTAACTGGTGTGGCTGCTGCTGTAGCCGCCACTGTTGACTGTTGCTTGTTGCTTGCTGCTTGCTGCTGTTGCCGATCATGTTGCTCTGGCTGCGCCAACAGCAGCTGCTGCGGCCGGCAAAAACTTTAAAGAATTTCATTTAATGCCACGCCGCGGCCAACTGAACCGCATAGTAAAATAATAACATAGAGAAAACATGCTATAAACATTTTTATAGCACAGCCACAGCAGAAGAGTGTGCTTTGTCTATATGTATATGAGTGTCTGATGTATCCAAAGCCAAGAGTATTTTTGTTTAAGTAAGTGTTACTAAATGCACTTTTAAATGTTCAAACATGAACTCTCCACAGCTGGCAGGGGGAGAAACGCAGTGCAGCGGCAGCAGCACCACCAGCACCACTGAGTGGTGGCATGCCAAAATGATTTATGGCCAAAGTACGCAGGCGCACACGGCCATGGCCAGAGCCAGAGCCAAAGCCGATCAGAGTTGTCCAACAGCCAACCCAGGTCCGGGTGCCCCATTTGCCTCTATGCCGCAGTCGAGGAGCTGGCATTCAGTGAGTTTGTACTACAACTAATAAACTAATCTGCAAGTGCATAAAATTAGGGCCACCGCCAGAGATTTCTATGCAGTTGCTGCTCTTGCTGGCGGCTAATACGCCATAAAACCAGCGACATTAAATGCAGCAGCTCTGCTGCACTGCGTGAGTGAGTGACACATTTACGACTGAGCAGAGGCCTCTGTCGTGTGGTACGAAGGCAGCCGCAATTAAAATTAGTTTTGCCCCTTAATCTCTTTATATGTAGCAGCAGCAGCAGCAGCAGCAGCAACTGTTGACGCGATTTGCACAGCCCAATTGCATGGATCGTTTTGCACTTTTTGCACGCAGCATTTCCGTCTTGATTTACACGTTCTCCAAAAAATCTCTTGGAATTCGCTGAACTCAAGCTGAGCGACAGACGGACAGACAGCAGCTACGTACACTCTGACTCATGTGTTGCCATGGGACGATCTTTGGAAAAGCTATATGCTTTTCTACATTTACTTGATCTAGAGATTGGCATAGCTCGAAGTCTTTATGCACTTGTTGCCCCAGCCCAACAAGCTGCTGATGCTGATGATGACGCTGATCATGCCATGATCGCCGTCAAGGTTGTCTTGATGGCATTTGCCTTTGCCTTGGGGCTATGACTCTGACTGCCCAGATCTGAATGCATTTAACTAACCCACGAGCACGACGATGGCTTTATTGTTGTTGTTGCTGTTGCTGTTGCTGTTGCTGTTGTTGCCGTCGTCTTTTGCACACCCAAAGGCTGCCCATTTAGAGAGTGCAAAAATGTCATATGCATCATTAAATCGTTCTGCTTCATATTGTAGTCGCGTTGAGCATCGGTCGTTGCTCGTTGGTCGTTTGGTTGTCAGATCCCCTGCCCCACTTTGCCTGTGCCCCCATTTCGATGCCCGTGCCCATTCTGCAGCAGCAACATGCAAAATCAAAATGCGTGTGAGAGAAAAGTATGGCAACGCTGTCCAATAAAATGACTAAACAACTTAGTCCGCTCTGGCCAGTGGATGTCGACTTGGATGTCGCTGTGACTGTGGATGCGGACAGACTTGGACTTGGACTTGGACGTAGCTGCAAGTGAGCAAACAAATGCTCATAAATTGCTTGGGCTGCAGCTAAATTTGCCGTGATTTATTCTAAATAAAAGAAAATTATTCAATTGTTGTCATTGTTTTGGGTCAAGGTGATCGCGGAGACACATGCGCACACACACACACACACACACAGACACACATACAACATGTTGCAGCAACATTGTTGCCGGGCGCCGCGCGCTTTGTTTACTTACCAGTGAATCGACTTCGGGATCTGCGGTATAGTAGGGTTTCTGTGATCTTATCTGAAATGAGAGACAGAGCGCGAGAGAGAGAGATGGCATCAGTATAAAAGAAAAACATTATGTATACTAGTTTCAAATCGTTGCAAATATGCATAAGCAGTGGCAGCTGTTGTCGCTGGTGCTGCTGGTGCTGCTGTGCTGATTCTTGACGAACGCAGGCAGGTGGTAACTGCAGCTCGGAGCAACTCCGTGACTAGGTCGCCAATGTTTTCCCGCTGTCCGTCTGCCTGTCTGTGTCGCCGTAGTTTTATGATGCCAGCTCACAGTCCAAGCGATAAGCAAAATACTACATATAAACCAGGCAACAGCAACAGCAACAACGACAACAGGAGATGGTTACCAAAACACAGCATGGGAAACGCAACATTTGCGTAAAATTTGCTTTTGCTGTTGTTGCTCATCAGACCAGAGGTGACTCGCTGTGACCATAAAAGCGATTCTCGTTTTTATTTTTGGTTTTTTTTTTGTCTTTCTGTGTTTTGTTATTTTATTTTTATTGCAAAAGGCAACAGAAATAAACCCCACACTTAGATAAAAATCACAAAAGCAATATGTGGCTAGATAAAAAAATGGCCACACAGACCGCGACCGACCGAAATGCGACAGAAGGTCAAATAAATGCTGCGAATTATTTGTTGATTTTATTATTGTTGCTGTTGCCATTAGCGAAGATTGCTGCTCTGCTGGCTCTCACGGAACTCATCGGCGAGCTCTGTGAGACCAGCTTGGGTCGTTCTTCAATAGATAGCTAGATATATGTAGATAAACGGCAAAAACACATTAAAAAAAAGAGCTACACCCGCTGCGAAATTTTATACCAACGCAGATCTCGACTCGACCTTGTGCTTGCGTTCATTTGTGTCTTTTCTATTTACCTTGGCCATAGACCGACCACCCAATGCAAATATGCGGCAGGCTGCACTGCAGGCGGTCTGGATGCATAGTAGATGCAATGATCTGCAGAAGATAAGTCTCATGGCCTATAAACTATGAAGTCTACAGACTGAAGTCGATCTATCCATTTCTAGCGTTTTAACAAGCGTCTAATGATTCACACTTGCTTGCCTTGGGCTGGGGCACATCTCTCACTCCATATGGGACACTTGAGTATCGCAACGGCAATTAGAATCCACTGAGCCATAGACGACTAATAATTATATTGCGAGCAGCAGTTCGGATCGGTAAGGAGTTTAAGTCCCAAGTCGGACATCTGCAAATATGTGGGCACCGGGCCACATTGAAGCATGAGAAAAACGCCCCATTGTGCGGCAAGCAGAGCAACAATTACAACTACAACAGCAACAACAACAACAACAACAACAACAACAACAACAACAAGAAGAATAACTGATACAAGGCACAGCCATTGAGCAGAGGCTGAAGTTGCGTGTGGAGAGTTTTGTGCCAAAGTTGTTGCCAGTTGGCTTTAATGTTGCATTTTCAAATGCTGGTTGGTCGCTGGCGTTGCACACACACACATACACACTTAAACACACACATAGAGTCAAAGTTGTCAAACTGGTTTGCATGATAACTCTCCGTTTGGATGGCTGACTGGCGACCAGGTCGCGCTTTTGCTTTAGCTGATATGAAAAGCACGAGGGTCGCGGTTTCTTTATGCAGAGGGAGAGAGAGAGAGAGGCAGAGTAGTGGGAGAGAGAGAGAAAGACATGGGGGAACTGGGCATATTGCACACACGCACTTTTCATTCTCCAAATCAAAATGGCTGCCAGCTCTGCTCGGAGAGGCTCTCTCAGGCTGCTCTCGGCGGTAATTACAAGCCGAGGGCCACTGATAAGCGCTAGCCCAATGGGCAAATGAAATGCTGTTGTCTGCGATGCGGTTTTTAAAAATGTATAAATCATTGCCAACAAGCGAATACACAGCATGAGACAAGTCTATAAATAAGCCGGGACATGCCGGAACGTCGAGTCAGCGGCGGGCGTGAAAATAACATCAACATCATGAAATGAAAATCAAAATGAAAATGGAAATGAAAAAGAAAATGAAAATGAAAAGCATAAGGAAAATTCTATACACTGCGCCCAGTCAAACGAACATTTTGTCAACATAGCCGCGTGGGCGTCTGCAGCTGACAATTTCATATTTATAGCCAAACGAAGAGAGGCACATTTTCAATTTCCAAGTAGTGTCCAATGCGGAAACCCCACCAGAGCCCCAAGCGCCCCGAACGCCCCAACACACACGCACTTTAAAAATAAAAATCAAATAGAAAATTGCGTGTCATGTCGCCCATGGGCCGTCCGAGTTCCTTCTTGACTTGTGCCCCAGCGCACATTCTAATCAGTTTCACATGGGCAGCTCATAAATTTCGCAAGCAGCACGGCGACAAAATAAAATCACTACTGTTTAGATACTGCTCTTCAAGCGTTTTTATGATGGCCCCCAATATATGCAATTATACAACCGCCAGCGACAACGGCCAGTGCCACAATCGAAGGTTCGTTCTCGGGGCTGGGTTCGGGTTCGGGTTTGGGTTTGGGTTTTGGGCTTTGTGTTCCGGTGCCGTTGTTATAGATTGTCTCGCAAAAGATACTACAAACTCAGTTGCAAGATCGGCGCACTGCTGACGTTTGGCTGCCATAAATTCAATGGAATTTTCAAATCAAATTCGTTTCATCAACCTGGCCACGTGCTATCAGCCACAAGCAGCAACAATCGGGCCATAAAAGCCAAAGTAAAACCCAACACACATATATACATATCTATATATATAGAATTATGATTCAATCAGAACTGCTTTTAATTTCTCACATGATAAATTTATAGAAATTTGAGCCACTAAAAACCGAAATAAAAATCGAAACGCAATCCACAAAAGAGCTCAAGTCTATAAAACGCCTCAAATGCTGTTGTGTGCTTGCTTGCGGGTGAGGAGGGACAGCGTTTGTTTTTGCTACGTTTTTATTATGCCAATAGCTAGGAGCCGTTCGTCCGGGTCCGCCCGCGTTTATAGCCCTGGCATTGTGTTGGCCATAAACCTGTGCGCGCAGAGGCGCAAGGGGCAGCGCACGTCGGTGAGCTGGCGTAGTGGTGTAGTGGTGCAGTGGTGTAGTGGTGTAGTGGTGTAGTGAAGTCTTGAGCACTTGAGTAATGGCCATAAAGCGCGCCCAGCAAACGGCCATAAAGCAATTTATGCACCCTGCCATGTCGACTTTTGGAATCAGCGCGCACAGTAGCCAAAGAGCCGGACAACGGGCGATCGCAAGCGCAAAGCCCCCCAAACCCCAAAGCACTTGAGAAACTGCAGTGATAACACAGTTGCAGACGCAACGTCATCGCTCATGAACTGAAACTGGAACTGGAGCTGGTTCATATGCACTGACAGCTCAGCGCACGTTTCTCTTATTAGTTTATCTAAGCTAATGGCTGCTCGCTCTCTATGAGCCTGTGTCTGTGTGTGTGCAGTTCGGCTGTGTGGCGCCTAAATTGCTGCACGTAGCTACACTAATTTTCATTATTACTTTTGTATTTCGCTGCGTGCCACGGCGCCGGACTTGGCCCTAGCTCTCTGCCCCGCACAGCCGCATGCGGGCTTTGCCTATATCATAAACAAACGCAAGAAAAACGAATTAGCCCAGCAGCAGCCGCAGCAGCAGCAGCAGCAACAACTGTAACAACAAACAGCAACTATACAACGTTTGCACTGCCTGCGCTGAGAGAGGCTGTCGAAATGTTATCGAGTTTTTTATCTCTAGCTCTGGGCATAGAACACAAAACAAAAAAAAGTAAATTTAACTTCTCAACAGGTAACAATTTGAAACGCCCGTGCTGTGGATAACTATGTAATTTAGTGCAAGTTTTCATTAAACTGGTTTTCAGAGCATCTACAAATAATTACTAATTATTATAAACAATCAATGCTGAAGTGTTCTCGCAGCTAGCGGCTTTCGAACGAGTTTATAGAGCTGTCAAAGTTTGTCTGTTTGGCAGAAGTCCATAACGTCTGCTTCCAAAATCATTCACTTGAAAATTGCAGTTACCTCAAGCAGAGGTAACCGAAGACTCAAGAAAGCCTATCAAATTTCTCACACCTACAACAGCCGTTACAAGCAGCAGCAGCAGCAACAACAAATAGCCACAGTTAAGTACCTAAAAGCTTGCACAATGCCGCCATCCATCCCTTTGGATATTCCCAGCTCCAGTTCGAGTTGCAGTTCCCATCCCAACGCGTTCGCCCACAACAAGCAAAAAGGCGGGGGAACAAAATGTTGAACAATAATTTTGTTGTAATGCAATACCAAAAAATGATATTTGCTTAGCTGATGACGCTACGTGTTGGCATTGCTGCTGATGTTGATAATCGCGTCAATGATAATGACGATTATAATGATAATGCTGTTGTAGTGCTTGTTTAATGTCGCTGATTACCTTTAACCGTCATTACCAGCAAGAAACCAAGCCAAACCAAACCAAAACAAAACAAAACAAAACACAAACATAAACATAAACCCTAGCCCGAACCCAAGCGAGAAATGTGTAACGCGCCCGATCTGGCAGAGCCATCGTTTTTATCTTTATAATGGGCACACAATATCAGTAGTAAAAAGCAACAAGCAGAGAAAAAACTACAACAAAATGCGACAATTGAGGTGACAATTCGAGTGCGACTGCCAGAGCAAAAGCTACATACGCGTAGTTCCATAATGGGACAGTTCCACATGCGGCGCGTCTCGACTGATTTACTTTTTATGATACCCTCATGAACGCACTTGTATATGTATCTGTAGCTCTAGCCGTTGCTGTAGCTGTATCTATAAGTGTGTCTATGGGCCGCACACACTTGGCCATCTTTTACGACCCAAGACTGAGGTAGCTGCCACTCCCGGCTCGGATACCTTTTAACAATCTGGCATAGAAGCGCGTAAACATTAGCAACATTCTGAATGTCAATATTTGCATTGGAATGTTACAGCAGCAGCAGCAGCAGCAGCAATTTGTGTGCCGCTTTCGTTGACTACTTGTGGCGCATATCAATGGTACCTGTGCCTCATAGATCGCTCTCATCGTGCCAAAGGCGTCTGCTCCGCGGCCCGGACAAACATCCGGCGTTCGTTGACTGATAACAGCACGAAAATGCAAAGTAAATATGCTGTAGATGCGTCTGACAGAGACAACCGAATGTCGAATGTCGAATGCCGACTCACAGATGGCTAGACGGGTATATACACAGAGTCTTCAATTGTTCCAAATGCTAACAAAATAATCTGCTCTTTTACTATGTGAATGCATACCCCATTCAGCATCAGCTTACAGGGTATGGCTGCCATCGATTGTCAACACTCATTGCCCAATTTGTCAAGGCAGGCAGCTCGACGCTTCTTTCGCTTTTAATTGAAAGCGTTTAGCACACGTCTAGGCCGCGAGAGCGGTACATAAATCATGGGCCTCATAAGTAACGGCACATAAATAAAGGCGCAGCGAAAGACTTTGGATCAGAATGAAATACTTGAGATGCTTACACAACTAAATGATAATGGCCACCTGACTAATAAAATGTTGCCGCTGGCTTCTGACATACGAAATAAATAGAACTTTCCTGCGACTGCTCAAATAGTCGACTATAATATATATATATATATATAACTACATATATATATATACATATATATATATATCTACATAAATAACTCTGCTGTTCGCCTGCATTCCAGTGCCAGCTAAGAGGGCCAATCTAATGGGCTATGGCCTCTATTTGATGAACGTATTAGGGACTAAGTAATGCGGCACTCACACAGCGATAATGTATCTACGAAATGCAGCATGCACCATTTCATATCGTGTATATAGAGCTGTTAGGAAGGGTCAAACTACTGTACAAATATTGAAAGTCATCAGCTATGCAGACGATGCGTCTAACGACCCCGACCAAATGCGCGCTCAATCTAAACACACACACATAGACACACACACAGCCACGCACTCGCAGCAGCAAACTAAATAATAACATTTAAAAGGCGCCAAGTGGTTTCATAAACAAATATTTGAATAGAACGTAGAAAATTCGAAATTCTAGCAATTGGAAAAACGAAAAACTGAAAAGCTGCCAACGCAAATTGAAAAGAATTCAAATGTAATCAAAAGAAAAGCGTTTGCAGCTGTAAAGTGAAGTAAGTCAAAGTAAATAAGACGCTGCCCGCGGGTGGGTGGTGCGAATGCGACGTACTCTTCGTTTGGTGGTTCAGCGTTGCCGCAAACTAGCAACAGTTGCGGCTGCGCAATCCCTATTCCAGGCGGGACAACGTAGCTGCTCTTTTCGCAGTATTTTTCTTCTCTTTTTTTTTTGGCTAACAAGTTGGGCCTGATTGTGTGTAGTTGCGCCTTTGTTCGCCGAGAAATTCAAAACCAAGAACCCGCTGGCTCTAAGGGTTGAGCGAGCAAATAAAAGAACAATGCTTTAATAATATAACTGCGCATAGCTCAGAGACAAAGAGGGAGAGCGCGCACTCGGCCTCTCTCGCTCACTCGCCCAGCTGCTGAGATTAAAAAGGTACCAATACCAAATTCCAAATAAAAAGGCAAAGGTTGCTGTATTTTTTATCATTAAAAGAGAAAAAACAAGCAGAGCCAACGTCGACTCCGACTGCGACTGCGACTTCGATTGGTAGCGAGGCTGAAGGGAAGAATATTGCACAAAGGAGATTAAGTTCCTTTCAGCAAACGAGACACACGCAAATGCGTAGAGATGCAGGCACACACAGTTCCAAGTGAGCATTCCAAGCTGCCTGCTGCCTGCTGCCTGCTGCTAGCTGGCTGGCTGCCTTCTTGCCTGCCGTCCTGCCTGCTCGCTCTCTGACAATACACAACTGCGCAAGCGTAACCTTTCATACCTGATTATGGGCTCACTATAGAAATCTGTGTCTTTCTTTTCGTTTCGTTTCGTTTCGTTTCATTCGAAATCAGAAAATGCAATTTACGAAAACAAAAACAGAATGCTGGGAAAAGCGAGTCTCCGGGTACGGGGCACACATTAAATTGCTTTTGTACAAACGTTGCCCGGCCATAGGCCAAGCCATTGATTGGTATTAACGCTTAACCTGTTCGGGTTTCTCTTCGTATATCTTTTGCAAGCAGCGAGCTACCTGCGCTGCAGCTAATCCACAGGCTGAACCATGCCCAAAGGCGTTTCTTCTCCAGCTTCTTTTTCGAATTTCAGTTAGTGTCTAGAAAGTTGCTCAGTTCGGGTGGGCAGTGTCAATGTTGTGACAGATGTAGCTACAGACTTTGCCACAACTATAATGTCAAGGACAGTCGCAACAACTTCGTGTTGCTCATATGGAAAGCAGCAACAAAGACGCACAGGCTTGCCATACAAATTCAAAATATCATCAACATCAGCGGCGGCAGCAGCAGCAGCATCATCATCATTTTACCCGCACTTCATTAATCATCATGCCAAAACAGACAGCCCCCAACATAGTATGTGTGTGAGACGACTACTTAGAAGCAAAGGCAGGCTGCTGCTGCTGCTGCTGCACGCATGGCTGCAATCTGCAATAACAACGGCAGCAACATCGCGAGGATCAGACAATGGAGTTGCGTTGTCAACGCCAAAATATCAACTCGTCGCATGTAGAAACTATTAGCCAAAACGCCAAAAGGTTGTCACTACAACAAGCCGACTGTCAGGCAGCCAGGCAAAAGTTACTCTGACGACTGATTTTCATTAAAAATTACTTAAAATGAAATCATAAAAATTATTTGGGCAATCAGCATGGGGCTCACTCAAGGGGTTCTTTGTCTTTGGAGACAAAGGCTGTGCAGCACATTAAGCAAATTTTCGTAAGGGGAGAAATCATCAACAACAATAACAACAGCAACAGCAACAAAAACAGCAGACAGAGAGACAGACATGGGCGACGCGTCGCTTTGGGAGCAACAACATCTTCAGCTTTTGTTGCTTATTTATAAAGTACACATATGCATATATAAATAAATAAATATATATATATATATATATATATATATATATATATATATACATATTTATATATTTATATGTACAATGTTGTTTTTTCCTCAGCTGCTTTTAAAGAGAAATTATAAAGCGTTTCCTTAGCTGCATCATTAGCAGCGCCAACACCAAAAGTCGCCTAACTAAGTATATGCCAAACGATACGCCGAGTGCGCCGACTTTTCAGATTGTTGAGATCTCGATCTGCTGCTCTCGTTCACGTTGTCGATCTGTGGCGTTGGCGTTGGCGCATTTTACGCAGTTGCTTACTCAAAACGAAGTGACATATATATATCTATATATATATATATATGTACATATGTATATATATATATCTTATATGCATGCAGATGCAAACTATCTATAAAAAAAGCATCGACAGTGGGGCAGCTAAAAAAGCATCGCCACATATTTTTAGCGCCCATGTTGGCAGTCGAGTCGACTGGGTGACTCTGCTCAGCTCTGCTCGTTTGTTAAAATTCGATGGGCGAATGACATTTTTGAGTTATTTTTGTCAGCCGAAGACGGCAGCAGACAACAACGACCCCGAAGCAGCATCAATTTAGTGGCCAACTAAAAAAAAGACCCAAATGAATTCAAATCGAATCAACTGAAATGCAAGCGACAACTTAGTTGTTGATGCTGTCTATATCTTTAGCTGTGCATCTTATGACATTTGTGCATCATGCACAGAGCAAAGTGTGAAGTAATGTTGAGGCCGTTGCGACTGACAGCCGAAATGCTGCCTTAGAAATGATGAATTATGAGCTAAGCAGCAGCCAGCGAGGACAAAAATCCAATTAAAATTAAAAACTAAATGAGTAATTAAATGAAAGTCTCAAGTGTGCCTTCGAGTGGCAGGCATTGTGAAATTTGTTAACTTCATTTGGCATTTCATTGTCAATTTGACAAAAGTTCATCAAAATCTCGCCACCAAAGGACCAAAAATGTATCTTGATAAATGTGGCTGTTGTTGTTGCTTTTATTACCCTTGGCAGGCCTGTCAAAATTCCAAATGGACCATAAATAAAAACATCATTTTTTTGTGCTGTTGCGAATCAAACTCAGCTGGCCAACAGCAACAAAAGCGAGCCTCTTCTTGTTTCAATTCTCATTTCATTTTTATTTTCAAATGTTTTTTTTCCTGACGCGCCAAAAATGTCGCATCTCGACATGAAAATCTCTTCAGATGGAGCCATAAGTTGTGCTCGCCCTCTGAGTGAGCGTCTTTAATGTGATCTCGTTTATATAAATAGAAGCCAGCAAAGTGAGAGAGGGAGGCAGAGAGAGAGGCTGGGCCAGGATGTGCTTACAACTTGCAACATTATAATTTGTGTGTTAAAACATCGTAAATTATTGAAATGTCACTGCTTTAAGCTTCTTTTTTTGGGAACTCTCAATTGTGGCAACAACACATATTTGCAACATATGGCAAGTCACAGGCAGATGCAATTAGCTGCAGCCACTTGAGAGAACGACAGAGCAACAGATCGACAGAGTGCCTCGAAATCCGATCATTTAACGGCTTGCTTTGTTAGACTCGTGTGCCGCATGTGGCACATGTGGCAAAGCTCCAATTACCCCCAAAAAGAACGGACAGAGCTGGCTATAGAAGCCTGTTGGCCTCTTCCACATCTTTCCCATTGCTTACCTGTTTACTGAACATTGCAATATCCTCGTTAAACGATTCCGACGAACAAACATCGCCACCTTGCACGCCAGGCTCTCGCGGCGTACATGTGGCCAATTCGCATTTCTCGAATATGAGCGCTAAGAGCGGGAATAGCGGATGTCTGCAATAGAAAGAGAATGGAGTTAGGTTTAAGTTAATGTCGATACCGAGAGATATATGTATGCCAGATATTCATGAGTTGGAAACATTATCGCCCGCCCGCCCAGCGCATTGCCAGCTGTTTTTAACTATTTCCTGCCATGCAAATGAACAGCAGCTGTTCAGTATCAGCATGAAGACGAAGAGAACAGAAAACAACAGAGAAAAACGAAATACGTCCACATCTACATATAATCCCTCCGATTGTGACCTGGCCCTACATTTTGACGGATTAGTTCAGCAACTATGCATGATTTGACCATTTTTTGTTTTCTATTTTCGGCTTCTTCCGTCTCTTTTTTTACTGTTGTTGTTAACTGCTCTTCACGCTCCAAGCACAAATTGCACCTGAACAAAATTAGGCGGAGAGCGAGCGAACCCTCTCCTCGAACGACGGGGCTGTTCCTTGGCCCGGTCCAGGCACTTCATTTGGTCATTAGATGGCACAACTGACCATTGGCCATTGGCGAGGTGAGGGTGTAGCCGTGCGCTTAACAACTATTAATAAGCGGACCATGGCCCGAAACCCCTGAACTCTGCAGCAACTGCCCGTGCGCTTTTTACAGTCGAGTGCGCAGCAGCAGCAGCAGCAGCAGCAGCAGTAGAGTTTCCATTCCCATTTCCCATTCCAACTTTCAATTCCATTTCCATGCCCATTGCCTCTGGCCAGGATCGACCCAGGCAACAAAAAACTGTGCACTCATTTGCCATGACTTGGCATTTGTGACAGGCAGCTGAAGTTGTTGCTGTTGCTGCTGTTGTTGTTGTTGCACTCCACTCGAGAAGGTGTTAAGAGAGTTCTGCGCATGTTCATTTTATTGTAGCGGCTGCTTTTTCATTGCGTCCATTTCTTATTGTTATTATTATTTTTGTGTCCGGCTGCCGCTTTCAAGGTGTCAATTGTACAAATAAGAAGCGCATTTTCGAGTTTTTATTTACCATTGGTAGGGGCAGTGGCAGTGGCAGTGGCCATGGCAGTGGCTGTTGCAGGTGGCACAGCCAAAGTCCAAGCCAAAAAGTGTGCTAATGAAGTCATGCGCCATGTTTGCTCACCCACTTGAGACTCAGCAGCGGACGAGGACGAAGCGGAGACTCATCAAACAGCCAGCGACCAACAGCTGATTGATGGCAGCTCAAAGTTAACTCATTCATAAAATTGCCGCACAAAGCAAACAAAAAACCAAATATTTGCTTATTTAAATGCGAATACAAAAACTGAAACGCAGAGAGAGCCAAAGACAAACAAGGTTCAAGCAGCTGTCCCAGTGTCTGGCATCGCCAGTTGCAGCACATGAAAATTGCCAGTTGGCAGGACACGCATCTGCAGAGCTGGGAATGACACGAGCAGCGTGTCCTCCGCTCCTGATCAAGTTAGAAAAAAGTCGAAACCGCATTTTGGCAACTTAACACCAGGCACAACAACCTGCTGCTGCTCCCTAATGCCTAAGCACGATCCTGTGCCGTGTCCGTCACTAAACACGAGCCACACCCCACGATCTGCAGCAGCAACCGCAGCCGGAGCTCACAAATTAAAAAAGAAATTTTGTTGCCAAAAGGAAACCCATAATTTTGTATTTTGTGCAAAACACAGAAGGTCACGCCCAGCTCTGCCAGCCAAGAGAAAAAGATGGTGATCCTCTTTCAATTCTTGTTTGCTTTGCAGCAGGATCGTGGGCATTAGGTCGCGTGTGTGTTAAATTGTGTTACTCCCTCGCCTCGAAGCCGCATATCGCAGAGGTGCGAACAGGCGGCAACAGGTGGCGGCGCTGCCCAGGGTTCGATCGCAACAAATTGGTATTCAATATGTGAGTTTCGCTGATCAAAGGTCCAAAAATTGATGAGCATCTTGGCAGGAGGTAAATTAAATAAATTAATTGGCCGAAAGTGGAATTTGTCATTCGTCGACTGAGAAGTGCACAATGATCAAGGCCAGGTGCGGATCGGAATGATAGATCAATATTCCGAAACATGCAGATCATGATATGAGCTGGAATGTGGCCTGATTTTATGATCACGATTAGATCTTTATATAGATCGAATCCCATCAAGTCGATCACGTGATCGCTAATCACTTTGCACTGCTCGATCGACTCTTATTCAATTCATGAATGAGCGAGCAGTTAAACAGTTTATGATCTGCGCTTATCAGGGAACTGGTTCATTCACTCTCAGTGGCAATTGAAAAGGGTTTGGTAAGAACAATTTGGGTTTTACTTACTCATAAATCGCATCCTTATCACGTTTGTGTACCTCGGGTATTGCGCCCATTAGGTGATTAGCAACCGGTGATACATGACTAGGTGTACCATGCGCTCCGGCCCCCGAATGGTAGCCGTGCATCCCAACTGTGGCCGCTGCCGCGGCGTGCGTCATGTGCGGTGAGTGGTGCGAGGGGAGGCCTTGCAGTCCCGGCGGCCGATGGCCGACATGTGGATCATACATCGCCGCGGCTGCGGCGCCAGAGTCCATGCCGTAGCCATGCAGGCCATCGTCATACTGTAAACATAACAAGAGAGAAAGAGAGAGAATGAATATGAGAGTTTATACTTTCGACTTATTGGCTATATGTTTATTTGAATCAATCGGAATCAGAAATGTTGCTCAGCGTCAGCTGGAGATTCTACCTGCTCAAATCGCGCTATGTATCTACACTATATCTATTTATCTATATCTGTGAATAGGTCTGCCAACATTCATATATATTATTTCCAAGCACGTCAACAAAAATTGAAGCCCCCAAAAAATAACAGCAGAGGGGGAAAAGAAATAACAAAACGGTTCGCATTGTGTTTGACCTTGTGATTACTTTGGCTGCGGCATTATATATAGATATCTATGTGTATATATATTCAGATATAAGTATATTTAGCTGATTGCTGCTGTTGCTGCTGTTGTTGTTGTTGTTGTCGCTTCTTTTCTTTCGACGTTTTTTGCATATTAATTAAGCGCCAAAATCAGCAGCAGCAAAACAGTTAACAGAGAGCAAAAAAGCAAAAAACCAAAAAAGTAAAACAAAAAAAAGTAATTTTTAATGTTATCAGTTAATCTGTTTCAGTCTGTGTGAGCGAGCGCGAGTATCTTCGCGCAGCTAGCTGCGTCTCGCTCGCAATTGCAAACTGGTTTCACGTATGCAACAACGGCAACAACTACAAGCAGCCGCAGCAGCAACGGCAATGGCAACAGCAACAACAGCAAGAAAATATATATTTTTTTAAAGTTCAACGCGGCTCTGCTCTCCGCCTTCTGTGATTACGGCCTTTTGTGATTGTGATTGCTTGTTGTTGTTGTTGTTGTTGTTGTTTTTGTGTAAGATTTTTATCATTTTTATACTCAAGTGGCGTCGTCGTCACCGCTTCACACTGCATAATTTTGGAGCTGAGAGGAGCTGAGGCCGAGGCGCAGCCAGTTGACAAGATTTTTGTGCAGCGACAAGAAATGATGGCACTTTTTGCTGGCAAAGTTTTCCCTCGCAGTTCATGTGTCTGTGTGTCTGTGTGTGTGTGTGTGTGTATTGTTATCGTCTTGGAAAAATCTTTGACACTAAATGAGCAATTGACTGAGTGACGCTTGGCGGCTTGGGATTGGCATTGGGTTCGCTTTGAGGCAAGTGGCTCTTGACTTGGGGCATTCAGCATTCAGCCAGGATTTGCACCTGACAGCGTCTCTCTCTCTCTCTGTGTGTGCGTGTGTTTGTTTGGAAATGGGTCTATCAATGGCTGACTGTGTTAGCCTAGCCTCTCGCCCCACCCATTGCTGTAGTTTGTTATGCGCAGCAGCTGCTGTTGGCAGCTTGTGTGTGCGACTACCACCTGCAGAAAGTACCAAGACCTTTTGTCATTTTGGCTTTCTGCAATCCTTTAGATACACACAACAGATTAGTTACTGTGCAGCTTTTGAGCCGCAAGCACAAATCGAGTTTTGTTTTTTTGCCTTTTTGTCACTCATTCTTAGTGTTGGCGTCCCTGTGTATGCAGTGCATGCAAGATACAAACTTATAGATACAGCCAGACCGGATCAGTTGCAGACCAGCGAGCGAGCCCAGAGCAGGCCGGGTCGGGGCCAGACCCAGGCAGTCGAGCAGTTAAACTATAAAGTTGTTATGCTAATTTTAGTGTTGGTGGCAGAGCCAGCGAATGAGCGAATATACAAAGCAGCTCGCAGGCAACGTTGCTTTTAGAAATGAGGAAATTGTGGAGCAGCAAACAGCCACAGCCGTAGCCACAGCCACAGCCACAGCCAAGCAGCTAAGAAAACAAAGCAAAGCACAAATAAAATCGCCAACAAAGAGATCTCTGAAAATTACCACAATTTGTACTTGTACATAAGTAATGTGGGAATTGAGCGGCGTATTCCTCCGTTCCCCATCTCCATCTCCATTGCCATTGCCATTCCCATTCCCAATCCCATTGGCAGTGCCCAAATGAGCGGACTTTTGTTACTTTTGTAACCGAACGCGCCAAAAATCGAACAGGCAAACACACTTAAGACCTGGCACCGAAGACTTAAGGCTTTCCCCATTTGATTGATGATCATCTGCGGGCTCCAGCGAACCCGAGCCAATGACCTTGTTGAACGCGTCGCAAGCTCTACTCTCGCACTGTGTGTATGTGTGTGCCTGCATATATGTACGTACATATGGACACTACACTCCTCTCTTTTTCAGCTGGTGAATCAATAACCCACAGCCAACAATCAGTGGACGCGAACGGGAACTCCGTATAAACATGACTCTGTTGGTGTTGTCGTCTGATTTTGACAAGTTCAGCGCCGAAATCCTTCAAAAATTTATGTATTTGCGGCCCACACATACAATGACAGTGGGAGAAGGCAGGCGGGAGGTGAGAGGCGGGTCGCTAGCTGTCAGTGACAGGCGCAGCAGTCACATGGCCAGCGGGACAACGGGACAACGGGACAACGAGACGACGCACAGCTAGCTGAGTTTCAACCACGTTGCTGAGTTGCTGTTGTTGTCCTTGTTGTGTGTGTTATCTATACATATACATGTGTGTGTGTGTGAGTGTGTGTGTGTGTGCTTTTGTCGTGATTGCGCGACATTAAGTCATCGAGCCAACAGCAACTACAACGACAGCAACAACTCACTCGACTCAATTGTTGGCTTTAAGGCCTACAAGAGTTTGTGCAGCACTTTAAGCTTGCATTAGGCAGTTGCTGTGCTTGTTGTTATAGTTGTAAACACACACGCACACACGCATGTGTCAACCCAACGGGCAGCCAAAAAAGTGGGCGGCAGGCAAAAACTGACCAAAACATTTGCGCAAACATTTTTGGCCTGAACTTGAAACCAAAAACTGTAGCCAAATGCAGCGCCACACAGATGCAGTGCGAGTGCGATAGATAGAGAAATAGTGGAGCGTTAGGTGTCCAGTTTAGGCGGCAATGGCAATGTTTTTGTTGCTGTTGGGGAGTTTATCTAACGGCGCCTAAAACTGACCAGCGCCAGACTGCAAGAATTATAGGTGCGACTGTCTGCCTGTGTGTGTGTGTGTGTGTGTGTGCGGTGACAATGGCCGCCATTTTAGCAAGCCCTTAAAGCTACGGCACGTGTGTGGGTGTGTGCTCCATATACATAAATGTGCTCGATTGGAGCTGGTGCACAAATGTGTTGGACAGTGTTATTGATTTCTTATTCGGACAACACTTTTGCTTTTCATTCTTTCACATTCTTAATTGTGCGACGTTGGCCGCCTAATCAAAATTAATTGTTTATCATGTTGTATTTGAATTTGTTTCGTTTTCTTTTCTAATTTAATTTTTTTGTTCTTTTTTTTAGCTTGCTTGCTTAATTAGCAGACGAACCGCAGAACCGAGTGACCCTGAGATATGCTAGTGCCATTGCCTCTAGAATTCGAATTGGCTGTCGATTGGTGTTGTAGGTGTGTCAGAGAGTCGCCCAAAAGTTAGGAGTAAGCCATAGAGTCCCAAGCACCCGCACACCTCCCCACCCCCTCTAAGGCAAGAGCATTTCATTAAGCTGGGCACACGCCCAGTTTTATTATTTCTTTCTCTTTCCCTTTTTTTGCCGTTTTGTTTTTGTTTTTGAGTCGTCGTCGATGTTTTGTATAGTTTATTTGGTGTTAGACAATTAATTTTTGTTGCGTGTTTCGGCGTTGTTTTAATTTACAGTTGCAGCCACAGTCAAATCGAACACGCTCGCTTTTATTACTACTAATAATAATAATAAAAATAATAATAAAAAAATTATTTTGAAAAATAAAATAAAAAAAATAATTATAACAATAAAAATAAAAATAATAACAAATTCTTAATTTTAGAAAATAATTATAATAATAAAAAAATAAACATTAAAAATAATAAGAATAAAAATAACAAATAACAATATGCGTTGCGACAAGACTCTAGTCTTATGGAAAAATTTATTTGATTTTCTGCCAATCGCTAATTTATTTTTAAGGCTTAATTTAATGTTGGAAAAGAACTGCTTCGAGTGTATATAATAGTTATACTATATATCACACGATCGGCAGCTAAATTTAAAGCAACGACTACGCAAATAACAAGGCGACAGCAAGCAAACATTTAGCTTGTTTTAATATTTGTCCGAAATAAAAAAAAAATAAAAAATAAAATTAAAAAAGAAAGAAAGAAAGAACATCAAATGACGTCAGTGCAAGCATTTATTAAATTAAAAGCAATGCCAAAAATACTTTCAAGAATTATAATATAATAGCTAGCACAATTTTCGAACCTGTCACAAAATCAAAGTTAATTGAAATTCTAAGAATGAAAGTTTCGAATATCGCAGTAATCCTGGGAAGCGAATTCCGTTGATAGTTTGCCTTAATTCATAGGTAATAGCAAAAATATTTAATATCATAAAAATTGTTGATAGAAATAAATGTTAAATATACGAAAAATTTACAAATTAGATTAGTCATTTTGCCTTTAACTAATTTATGCATAAATACATATGAAATGAACCAAATACAAGCCGACGAATCTCATACGAATTTGAATATTTGGAATATCATTAAACATTTGCCGCTTTCAGACACGTTTTCAAGGCACTTTAGTATCTCTGGGTATCTATACATTGTATTAATTTCTATATATATACACATATAGAAATTTAAAAACAACTTTTAATACTATCTCACATTTTCTATCAAATTTTTTAAGCAGCACGCGGCGTCTATTTAATTAAATTGGCTTGAAAGAACTAAAGAAACAAATGAGGAGCAGAACAGAGCGGAGCAGCGACGTGTAGTGAAGCTATGGCAAACTGTGAAGTAGCTGCGGCTGCGGCTGCGTCTGCGTCTGGCATGGCAAAAGTTACTCAAAAAAAAACAACAAAAAATACTAAAATAAATTGCGTGCTGATGGCTCATTTAATTTAATGAGCGGCGTGCAACTTGTCTAAATGATTTTCCACGTCTTTTCGTTGTTGTGCCCCCAACGGCAACCTCAGCGCCAACAGCTTGTATCAGTTGGTTTATAGTACGTATCTTTCTTTTGGCTAGAGCGTAAGTCAAAGAGATGTAATGGAATTCACTTAACTTGCCGAAAATTAACGCTCGCTTAGCGCTAATGTTGGGGGAAATTACATTGTGCGAAATATTTGTAAGCGAACGAAAATTTAAGACGATTTGAGCGCAAATGTAAAAAGAAATGAAACTAATGAAAACACTTCCAATGGCCTCTTGGCAACAACAACAACTAACAGCAACAACGCACCAGGCACCAAACGAGGCACGCAATTTGATCATTAAACATGAAGCTCTTTAGCACACGAAAAACCCCAAACACTGCCACAGGAGAAGTTATCGAGTGGAGGAGCCCCAGAGCCGAGAGCAGCCCAACAACACCGGGAGACTGTCGGAGGTTCCGTTGTGGGCACCGTGCGGCCTGCAGCGCAGCAATTCCTATGCAGCCGCTGTTCTGTTATGAATATGGTAAAAATATGCATATATAACGACACATACATAAATTGTATAATTTGTTTATACTAAATTTGCGGCCGTACAGGTCCCGAGGAACAAGTTTGCACTGGCAGAGGGTAAGCCTTGCTCAGCTTCCACTCAACTTCCAAGTTCCAACTCATGACTCACTAAAGACTGCGTGCTTCTTGGTCTGCCCAGTTACTTGTCTTTCTCTTCCAGATTCTATGAATCACTCGAGTTGAATCTAACGAGAATCAACATCAAAGAACTCTCAGCTGCCTTTGCGTCTTATAACTGTAGATACTTTTGCAAGTTAAGTGTGAGCTTAACATTATCTCTATAAATTCAATTAAATCTATTTTATTTATTTATAAGATTTGTTGTACTTGAATTACATTTACCTATTTATATAGTGAGATACAACAAATTTGTTGAGAAATTCAAGTTCTCTAAATATCGAATATCGAATTTATTTGCTGTTAAATAAAGTTTTTTATATTTAAAAATTTTACTCTATTATGTTTTATATTTTCTGGAGTTTTATTTATAAATTTCGAAAATATCTATCTGTTTCACAACTAAAAGCCTCTTACATAAACAAATAATTTGGATTTGCTTTTAATATTTTTTATATATTTTTTTTATTGAATTTCCTTCAATGCCTACAAACTGTTGAGCTGCCAAAAGGGAAAACTCATGAGAAATGTGAAAATTGTGCACTATAAAACCCACAAAACCGAAAAGACAGAAAAAACGTAAAACGTAAAACAATTTAAGGCCAAATCGAAAACGCAGCCGCAGAGCCAAACAAATGGCGAACGGCGAACGGCAAACTGCAACTGCGAGAGGCGAATGCCGAACGCGAATGCCATTTGCTTTCAGTGCACTTTTATTTGATTTTTATTATTTTTATTTTTATTTTCATTTTCATTTTCATTTGTGTTTTTATTTTTACTTGATTTTTCATTTTGTAGCGCGCGAGCAGCGCACACTAGACGAATTATATTTTATGCCACAAATTACGCTGCGGTTAACCTTTAAATTAAAATAACACCAAAACAATTTTTGTGTTGAATGTTGAATGTTGCAGCGCCGCAGAGGCCTGCTTGTGTGTGTGTGTGGCAGCTGCACAAATTGCAAATTGTAATCTTTTTTCTTTTCGACTTTTCATTAACTGCGAGGCATAAAATAATCAAATTAAATATGTACAACAATTGCTAGCAACCTTTTGTGCTTTAAGTGAACATTTTTAAAAATAAAAAAGGCATAAAAAGCAATAACAAATTCGTAACGAAAAGAAATGCAATGAAATTGCAATTGTAAATAATAAAACCACAGCGAGTTGCCCTCGCCGAATGCCGGACAACCAGCCGTGCTGCCCTGCCCGGCGCTGCCTATGCTGTGCAATAAAATTATATGCATCACATCAAACACACACACACACTCACACTCGCACACACATGCCGCACAACCAATGGCCTTTTGGCTGGAATTGCAATCAGAGACTCGCAGAGTGAGAGCCAGAGAATTTGGCGTATTAAACCACAAGTGTAAATTTATGTGACTGCCAGAGCAGCAGCTCACAGCTTCTGCCAGCGAACCGCATCACATTGAACCGAACCGATCCAAACCGAACCGCATTCAGCGCATTTAAATATTTAAATCTAGCCATTTTTCAAGTCTTCTGAGCTGGAGGAGAAGGAGAAGTAGAGCTGGCTGGGCCTTAGCCATGTACGACAGTGTCACACACACGCACACATATGTAACATACTAATTATGAACTATACACACACACACACACCCAGCTGAGTTTGATTTGCTCTCGTTTTGTTATACATTTCCTAACGATTTAACGATCCATAGAAATATCAAGTTCGTTTCACACACATATGTTAATCAGTTCATAAAGTTAAAGTAGGTAAATAAAAAATAAATAAAATACAAAACAAAAACGAGGAAAAGAGCGTTAAGTATGTTGGTCAGTCAGCTGATAAATAATTTATTGATCTCTACGCGGCAAATTATGATAATAAAAATAATATATATAAAAAAAGTTGAGAATTTTTTTAGCAAACATAAATCTCACTTTTATTTAGTTAAGCTTCAACATGTTTGTCTCAATTTTAATTGAAATCTAAATAATATTTCTGATATATTTCTATAATCTACCGGACTTCTATATTCTATATATTCGAGACATTAAAAACTTCAAATCTTAATATTTATTTAAATTTAAATTATAATTTTAAGTTGAAATAAAAAATTGTATCAATATTATTAGCTAACAAATCTTCGCTTTTATTTATATTTTAAATATTTATATAATATTTAATTCACATATATATTACATCTTAAAAACTGCTAATAGTAACTAAAAAATCTTTGCTTCTACTATAAATATTTCTTCTAACAAATGTTTTTATCTAAGAATAATTTTGTTCACTTTGTTTCCAGTTTCTAAAATACTCTAAAAAATGAAACAATTTGCAGACTTGATTTGATAATAACTCGTATACTTATAAACTGTACACGTCCTGAGATTATCAAGTTGATAAAATTGTTGCAATTATAATTTTTATAGCTTGCTGTATCTATAAAAATCTTGTCACGCCACAATCAACTGCTTAATAAAAATATATATAGAGTCAAATGCCGAAGCCGAATCCCGACGGCGAAATAAAACCGAACTTTTCAACACTATAATTAGGCAAATCTTCACTTGTCTGGAAGTCGGGAACATTCAGAACTAATTATACGAATAGCTGTTAGTGAATTGTCAAATAATTGACATTAATTTGGAGAAACTATAGTACGAGCAACTCAGGTTTAGACTGATGAAATCTAGATAGAGCTGAGTGGAAAATCTGTGAGAAAGGAAAAATGTTTTTCCTAGCTGAAAAGCCGTCGCCTACGAAATGCCGTCGCCAAGTCGAACATTTTCTAATATCGAATTTCTCACTAATTGCTCGACGCTGAGACATAACACTTGGTTTATAGACAAGTTAGTGATAGTACTTACCCTAGGCTGAGCCATTAATGCTCTGGGAGCGACGTCTAACCCGATTTGTGCCACTTTTAGTGGTGTACAGACGACAGTTGGCGGCTCAACACAAAACGAGGGGTCCGCGTCCCTTGCGTCCTCGTCCTCGTCCTCGGCCTCGTCGTCCTCACAGACGTAGATCTCGGCTGATCTCTGGATCTGTGTGACTCTGGCTATACGTGTTGGGGCCTCCTGCTACGCTTGCTGCGCTCGAGTTGTGTTTTTTTTACTTTATGCTTGACACTCACAAAAATATTATTAGAATTTCTATCTCTCCCTCTCTCTTTTCCTCTTCTACGTTGTTCTTAGCTGCTTTGCACTTTATGCTTCTACTACTCGCTTCTTCTGCTTCTTCTTCTTTTTACTTTTATTTTTTTTTATATTTTCGGTTTTAACACAGGCACATTTGTTAAAATCTTTGCTTTAGATTTTTTACATTCTTTGCTTAGATTTATGTATTTAATTTGTTGTTGTTTCTGGTATACTTTGTTGTTGTTGTTGTTGTAGTTACGCGCGCGTTTATGTTATTAGCGGGAGATCTTTTTTGTTTTGTATTTTGTATACATATATTTATATATATATAAATGTTTATATAATATTTACATATAATTTTTTGTAGTTATATATAATTTTTTCTTTTTAGCTTTTTGTTTTGCGGTTTATAAAAATCGTATACAATTTGTTTTCATATTGGGTTTGCCGTTGTAGTAGTAGTTGTTGTTGTTATTATTATTGTTGTTCTTCTTCTTTTTAGTATACTGCTGCGTTGTTGTTGTAGTTGTAGTTGCTGCTTGTGTGGGCCAGGCAACATAGTTTGCAGTTGCTGTTGCCTTTTAGCTCTGCTCGTGGGTTATTGTTGTTGTCATAAATCCATTGCTCGGGCCTTTTGCAGCTGCTTCTTCTTCTTCTAGTTCTTCGTCTTTGCGTTCAACGTTTACTTCTAACTGTTCCTCTTGGATTGCCTTGAAGTTGTTGTTGCTCTTGTTGCTGTTATTTTGTATTTGATTTTGTTTGTATGTCGTATACTTCTTGCTTCGTATAATATGCGCACTATTTATCACAGCTGCTTCTACATACTATAATATACTATGAAAAACCAAAAGCTTGTCAAATCGGCAGCCAATCAAAGGTCAACTAACTGTTTACAGTTTGTAGTTTGCAGTTGCATTTAGTGCACTTTACTTTTCAATCTGCTCCTAACGGAACGTGCAGTGGACAAATGTTGCAAAATGTGGTTTTAGCGACGGTAACGCGACGGCGTCGACGGAGACGGCGACAGCAGCGGCAACACGACGAAAGTCCGTTAACGTTGCTGCGTAACGCGTAACGTAACGTAACGACCGATCGAAACGTCGCGCAACGAGACGCGCGCGCTTTTTGCTTATTTGAAATTTGTTATTAAGTTTTTTGGCTAACTGTGGAGATCGCGACGAGAAAAATTTTTGGCGGCGTCCAAAATATGTTCAGTTATGATTATTATTATTATTCTTGATTCAGTTGTTGTTGTTGTTGGTTGCTGTTGTTGTGCGGCAATAACAATAATAATGCTATGTAATAGCAATAATAATAGTAATAATAATAATTTTTCTCAACGGCTGCGACGTTGGCGACGGCTTCGGCGTTTTCGGCTTCGCTTCTCGCTTCGCACACAACACAGACAGCACAAGCACAAGCACGTCGTACGCGGTTCGAAGGCAAATACACACTGTCAATCATGCTCATGCACGCTTGCACGCCACTGTCTGCCCGATCGTACACTCACACACACGCACACACACAGTTGCAAAGACGGAGGCGACGCAACAATTGTGCCATTAAAAAAGGTTGTACAACGCGGAGACTCATAAATTTACCAGCAGTGCGAGTGCGATGGCTATACAAACACATTTGACTCCGGCGAATTGTGGTGCGTGCGTGTGTGTGTATTTATGTGTGCGCTTGCTGACTGCTTTGTTGCTGTAATTGCGGCGAATTGCTCAGCGAGAGCGCAGGCGCGCTCTTGTGAGCGCACTACAAAATGGGGCCCAAAGGCAGAGCGCAAAGGATGATGACTGATTTGTTAGTACGCCTTTTCTGTCATACACACACTTGTCACAATCTGGCTATGCTTTGCCTGGGCTGCGCTACTCTACTGCGCTCAGTTTTGCTATATATATATATATTTTTTTTGCTTTTGTTTTTGTTTTGCCATTTGTTTTTCGACTCTTTTTGCGCAACGACGACGTCGTCGTTGGCGCTCGCTCATCGTTCGTTCATTCGTTTGAAATTTATTTGGCTTTGGCCAAAAGGAGACGGCTTATAGGTTTTGGCCGCTGCTAGCGTCGCATCGCCTCTCTCTGCTGCTGCCAGCATAGTCGTCGTCGTCGCCGTCACCGTCGTCGTTGTTGCTGTTGCTGTTGCCGTCGCTGTGCGTGCGTTGAAAATCAGCAAAAACCAATCCCATTTGTTATTTTCGCTTGAGTGAGTGGCAGTTTGCATCAGTTTGCCATTCAGTCTTCTTTGGCCGCCCCACCTGTGCGCGCAGGCATTGGGCATTGGGTGGTTTTTGGGGTTGGGGTTGAGCGTATTCTCTCAGCTCCGTGTTACGTGTTTCGTGTTTGTGTCAGTGAGTGCTTTCAGGTGTTTTCTAGTCTTTGCCGCCACTCCAGACGTTGTCGTTTGCTGGCATTGCCTTCGCTTGCTGCTTGCTAGCTTGCTTGCGCTTGTCCGTCACTTCAAAATGCGCTCAACTTTCGCTCAATTTTTTTGCGCTCTTTGCACACACACACACACACACACATGTACTCACGCACACAGTCATACAAAAAGAGAAGCACTTACACATGCAAACACACACACACACGACGACAGTCAAATAGGTAACGCCTTCAAAAGCTGCAGCGACGTCGCCGTCGTCATTGTCGTCGTCATCGTTGTCGGCAGGCGTCATGGCGATCCAGCCACTTAGCCAATGATCCTGCCAGGAACAACAACAACACAAACACCAACAGCTGTTCGCGCCGTGAACTTTGTGTGCAATAATAAATCGCCCACCGATAAATTCAACGGCCCAAAATGCATATCCTGCTGCTGTTTGTTATTGTTTTTGTTGTTACTGCTGCTACTGGCGACGACGTCGTCGACGTCGTGTCGTCGTCCTCGTGGCAGTTTAAAAAGCAGCGAAGACTACAAGGAACAAAATTCAGACCCTGCAGAATAAAGCACTACGCAGATGGACTGGAGCCAGCTGGTTTGTAAGAAACTCAGTCTTACATAGGGATTTAGCAATTCCCACAGTTGCTGAACTCATTGGGCGACACAGTTCAAGATACGCGGACAGACTTGCAGCGCATCCTAACCATCTCGCAAGCAACCTGGCTATAAACAACAATAGGCGAAGACTGAAGAGATTGCATCCTCTAGACAATATTAGAACTAATTAAGATAGTAGCTACAAGTGCAGAATAATTGGCATATCTGCCCTCCCATTAGTTAAGGTTTAGAGCTAAATGCGCTATAGAGTCTAAGACAATAAGCTGCAACAAAATAAAGAAATAAAAACGAAAAAAAAAAAAAAAAAAACATATTTCGAGGCAATTTTTCAACAACGCATTTTTGGCCTGTGCGTCCTTTTTGCTTTTTGTTGCTCCCGTTTTCCAATTGTTTTTGTTTTTTTCGGTTAACCGGCTCGCGGCGCCCGGTCGCCATTTTTATTTTTTGGGTAGCCAACGGCAAATACGAAGTAGCGGCTGCTGCTGCTGCTGCTACTACGTCGACGCCGGCGCTCGTTTTAATGTTGCCGCCGTTTTAGCAAAAAATGAAAAATTGCTTTGTTTTTTTGTTTTGGCTGGCTGGCTGGCTGTGTTGGCAAGGATATTGTTGTTGCCACTGTGGCCCGATGACAAAGATAATAATGATGACGATGATGCTGCACTTAATCTGGTTTCCATTTCAAAACAGCTGATCATATTTTGTACACATTTCCCCCCTCAAATTGTTATTGCATTTGAAAGAATGACCGAGAGGGAGCGAGCGAGAGAGACAGAGAGAGGAACACTTGTCCTCGCGTCCTCTTTTGCTTCGCAGCTTTCGTCTAACTGTCGCCGTCTTGACAAATTTATGAGACGTTGATTGATTTGCGGTTTGAGATTTTTTTCAATTTTCATGAACCGTTGTTGTTGCAATCCAAGGTGTTTTGAATTTAAGACTCGCTAATGCAAAATTTGTGTGCCAAAAAGAAAAAAGAAAAAAAAACAGCGAACACAATTCGCATTCATTTGAAAACTCAATTAAAAGTAATAAATTGCTAATTTATTTCAATGTGGATGCTCGTGTGTGTGTGTGTGTGGGTGGTATTGCCAAAAATGGATTCGATGAAGGAAACGAACAACATGGCATTGACGTGATTTAATGCACAAGTTCAAGGAGACGAAACTCAAGGATAACAGATCTAAAAATGTGTAAATCTTTCAAATATAATTCACAAAAACTCAAATTGAAAATAGTTTTTAAATTCAACACGGCTAAGCCTTGATTAAAAGACAATTTCAAATTGTTAAATTAAATGAATGAGAATAAAATTTGTAAAGCCTTTGAGAAGTTCTCATCTTTTATATAAGTTTAAGAAAAAAGAATATATTTATCTAATTTTTTAAAATTTTTCTTATTAAGTTCAAATATATTTCAAGCTGAAAAAATTTTAGCTTATGTATCGATTGATTTTACAATAAAAAACAATTATCTTTCTCTTAATTTATTCGCAAGCTTCAAAATAAAATAAATATAATGAAAATAAAAACAAATAAATATATTTAATATCTTATATAATATACATAATATTATAATATTGTATATTATAATTTTATATATTCACAAAAGTATTTAAGAAATATTTTTATTTTGTAATTTTGATTTAGCTTTTTCACCTGCTTAGCTAAGCTTCAAATAAAAAGTTTTCAAAATTATTAAAATACATTTGTGAGTTTTAAAAAAAAATTACAAATTCAAATCAAATTCAATTGGACTATATTGAAATTGTATATAAATAAGTGTAATAAGTTTTTCGCATTCATTTTTCCATCTTTTAATCCAATTGCCACTTTTAAGTTCTGTAATTAATAACGGAAACGTGTGAGGGACGCAATAACTGTGCTTGTTAGCAAAAATTTGTCTAGTGCATTCTTTAAGGCCAGGCGAAGAGGAAGAAAAATGCAAAGGGAATTTAATTTAATTTAATATTACAACTTGGCAAAAATTGAGGAGACCATGAAATTTAAATCAGCAGCGCTCAGGCAGCGGGTGCCAGAGCGAGTGCGACAGTGAGTGAGAGAGAAGGGCGCAGCGAGGTCTCCACCCACTGAGCAAAAAAAGAAGAACAAAAAAGAAATAGGAGAAAACGTGAAAGAAAACAGAAAAAGAGAAACGGCAGCTTGATAATAAGACGAAAAGCTCAAGGCAGCAAAATTGCATTTGGAAACTTCCAATCCCAGACGAGCGCCGAACGCCGAGCATTTGGGACGAACGTTGAGGGGCAAGGCAGGCGAAGAAAACTGTGTGCGAGCGAAAAATGTGGCGATGAGAAAGCTCACGCACACAAAC